GGGGTACCAAAAACTTTAGAAAATAAATTCTTTGATATGTGGAAAGACTTGGCAAAAGAACTACCGTACATTGTTGATAGAAGGATTTTAAAGTCTAGAATGTTGTAATTTGTCTTCAATATTGTTATGTTCTAATTCTAACGTCTTTCTTCAACTTGTTACACTTACACACACGGTGACGCGTATGTTTTGAGCCTTTCACTTTATTTGGTGTGGAACTTTGATTGGAAATTTGGCTTATCATAATCTTCGAGGATAAGTGGTTGCATGTGTAGAATAACTAGCAAATTTACCATCACGCTCTTAACTTTACTTTGTTTATTGATAAGATTGGTTGTGGATTCAAACTTTAGTAGGATCAATTATTAGAAAGATAGATTATGAAACGTTTTACTATCTCTATTAATTATTATGTGCAACTTAAGGGGTATTATTTGTGGGATATAAAATATTTCATAGTTGTATATAATAATTAACGGAGGTAGTATGTTTTATAAAGGGGTATTTTTATTTTTTGGGTAAAAAAAATAGGGCTATTTGTGTCTTTCGAAGGAAGGGCTATTTGTGTCAATTCATCAATTTATTAAGAAAAAATTTATTCCTTTTTGGTTCTACTTCAATTCATTTCTAAATGTCTTACATATTAGAATGGATTAGATTACTTTGTGTAGAATTTATGTTACTAGTATGACATTTTACCTTGTAATCAGGGAAAAAACTACGAATTTTGTTTTATTTTGAAAAACTACTAATAAGTGATTAAAATGATACGGAGTATAAATTAAATCTTTCGGCTAACAAGTAACGTCACATCATTAAGAGTTTTGGTGGATTAAATGATAATATGTCACAAAAATGAGATTGAAATAACATACATTATATTTAAGTTAACAAGTGATGTTATAATTAGACTATTTCACTGGAAAAATGGCATGAGGTAGTAATTACTAATTATACTAATTATATTTTACTTTTTTTTTATATTGTAATTAATAGTTTTTTAAAGGATAATAATTGACAACCGTTCCTTTTTGGATAATAATTAACAAATTTTTTAAAAATTCAAATTGAGACGAAATAAACAAAATTCTACAAAGTCCAGTATCAAATTTCATTTGCATTGAAATGTAGTAGTATATAAAGTTCAAACAAGAACAACATAAAGAAACGAAACGAATAGAAGTTAGAATAAATTAATTAGTCGACATACATCAATGATAGGAAAATATGCAATATACAAACAGATGGAGTATAATTTAATGAAACAAAAGTTTAAAATAAAACTTAGAAACTAATTATGATTTGCACTAATTTAAGATTCGTCAAACAAGTGGGATTAGACTGCACCTAATCAGATCTTAAGTCTTTGAAAGTACAAAATACTTAATCATCCATCCTCCCTAATTAAAAAAATTAATAATAAACCAACTATGAAGCTGTCGGTTCTACAACTTGCATGTAACGCCATAAATTTAAAATCGTTTGTTCGTTTGGTCTTTGTCCCTAGGAAAAGTCTTCTATATGCTGGCCAATCAACGAAAATTCTCTTTGTGTTCATGCATAAATTTAATTATATTTAAGTTAATGATACAATATCTATAATTTAAAAATTATTAAGTTGAGGAATAATAGGAGTACGAAGTTTCTTAATCTATCAATAACTTAGCATCTGAAATTATTGTGGAGGTCACGTTAAAGTGGTCATTTAGCTTAGACTGTGTTTAGTTCAATTGATCTAATCTGATTTAATCTGGTTTGTTATGTTCATATCTAATTTTATGATTTGACCAAAATTTTAAATTATTTAACAATATATAATAAATGAAATATTACTCCGTATTAGATTCGTATTACTGCGTATAGTGGACTGGCGGAGGGAGAGGGTTACAAGGGGGGATAGCTTTCCCCCTACTTCTAAAAAAAAGAACATTTTGTTATATTATTATTATAAAAAAAAATTAAAGAGAAACTCATATAAGAGAAGGAGACATGAAGGTGAAATTAATGAAAGAACATGAAATCCTTTGGAGGGAGAAGAGGAGATATGGCGCTTACTGTAAAAATGGAAACAAGTGGGATTCCTTGGAGAAAGTTGAGATAGAAAAAATAGAAATTTGTATTTATTTTGCCAAATATTTGGATCTTTTAGATTTTTATTTATTTTATTTTTATTCGGTTAAAATATCACATTTATTACTTGGTATCTTATGTGTAATGTGATTATGTGAGTAAATAGTGAATAGTCAAGGTAAATAAGGTAAGTATTGCAAAAAGTCAAAACGTTTCAATTTTAAAAAAATACTGAGGGAGTCTCCATGATACAATTTAGAGGAACTAATCACAAGCATTTAGAAGTCTTTAAACGTACAATATCCTTAATACATGAATGCATGATCAATGAAAAGGTGGGGACTGGGGAGTAGGGATTGATAAGAGCTCCAAAACCTCGTGAGGTCAAAACATGAAAAGACCGACCTTATATCCAAACGTACACTTGAAGCAAAACGAATACACATCTATCCAACGTACAAGGGAATATGATGAACCAGACTAGATCCTCGCGGATGAACTTAAGATCTTGTTCCCTCGAATAAAAATACAAAGTATAAATACTACCTCTGTTAACTATTATTTGCAACAAAGGAATATTTTATATCTCATAAATAATACCCTTTGTTGCAAATAATAGTTAACGGAGGTAGACAGGTAGTATCTTGTTTGGCAAATTAAATCGGCCAAGTTTTGATTAGATTCTAATTCATAATTAATCATAGAGTATTATGGGGTAGTTGGCAAAAAAAAAAAAAAAAAAAAAAAAAAAAAAAAGGGTAGTAATGACTAGTGATGATAATTGGTAAAGCTAGTGTGGCCTACAGGCTAATAGGCTATAGTAATATGAAATTTTTTCTGTGGAGGCGAATGCACCATGCTTGGTGCATCCGGTTTTCTTTTAAAAAATAGGCGAAATGAACATTTAGTTGTTTAGTAAAGAGCATATAATTGTTTTATAAAGAACATATACTATTTTATAAAGAACATCTAGTTTTATATATTCTATATGTTTTTTTTTGTAAATCTAAAGAACATTTGTAATATTAGTAAAGAACATGATAATATTAAAGAACATTATTCATATAATAAATGTACATTTGGTATAAATGACCATGAATGCATATAAAAAAGTACATTTTATTGTATTATAATGTACATTGTATTATATTCTAATGAACATATATGTTATAATGTTGGTTACATGTTTAATGTACATTGTATTATTTGCATCATGTAAGTATATGAAAAAAGAACATTTTACTGTATTTTAATATCATTGCATTATTTGAATCTACAACTTTTTTAAAAATTGACTATTTGCTTGCTTTTTTCTTCAAAAATAGATTAATCGGAAGATCTTCTTCAAGAACTTCATTTTATTTCTCATTGCAACAACAAAATAACATCAAAATCGCAATTAATTCCCAATAAAATCAAATATTACAATTTTCAATCAAATTTATAAAAAACAAACACTCAAACTCAAAATAAACAAGTATGAATGTCATATAAACAAGTATGAATGTCGAACTTGGTCTTACCTTTCGTTTTTATTTGTCATCTTGAACAATTTTGGACTCAAAATTTCGAATTTCTTGAAATTTTGCTTGAGGTTTGAAGAATTTAAATGGGTTTGAAGTTTTGTTTGGAGAGAGAAAGTGAACTTTTGGTAAAAAAAATTTAAAATGATTTGTAATTAATGTATGGTTAAAAAAAATAATTATAGTACTATTTATCTATTTCATTATACAAAAAAAAAAAAATTATATTATTATACAAAACTAATATACAAAATTGTTGCACAAAAATCTGATGTACATTATAAATGAACACTATGTTCTTTTATGTATATGTCCATGTACATTATAAATGAAAACTATGTTCTTTTATATGCCCATGTACATTAGTATATACCTGCATGTTCATTCCGTCTTTTTGTACTTTGGAGCGGATGCACCATGCGGATCGTGCATCCGCCTCCACGAACCAAGCTTTAATAGTATTATCGATGGCGTAACCAAGGTACCCTCTCTATTTTTTTAAGTGTTCCATTTGGAATTTTAGCATTATTAATTAAACTTACTTTGATTAATATTTGTGAATTATACATAAGAAACTATATTGCCTTGTGGGTATCTTTTTTTTTTTTTTTTTTTGAACGGGCCTTGTGGGTATCTGTTGGAATTGTCTTAAATTCAATTGTACTCCGTAATACTTTATAGTTAATGATCATTAATAAAAAAATATTATTAATCAAAGTTTTACGTCGGCATGCGTGTCATTTTTACTATGGAGTACTTAAAAAACAGAGGGAGTATTGTTTATCAGTTATCTATATCGGTCCATCGGATGGGGTAATGGACTTATGGTAAAATAGACGTACTAAGGGTCTATTTTGTTCAGCTTAATTTGAATGCAGTTCAATTCAGTTGAATTCACCTCCAATAAATTTAGTTCAATTCATAATTTAATTTCTCTCATAACATTCCATTTCATCTCTATTCAGACCAGTTCAGCCTCAATTAATTCAGTTTAGTTGTTTTGACTAAATTGGAACAAGTCCTAATTCAATACTTTGTGATTTTCTTAATATTTGAAATTATAACAATATAACTCAATGTATTGTTTTTACAATAAAATTGTATAGATTGTATGTAATTATAATTGTTTGATTTTAAAATTGGTATACATACAAATGTATTGATTAACATATATTTAAGAATGATTAAAATATTATTCCTTCAAATGTCATCATATTTAGCATTTCCTGTTTTTCTCAGGAGGTACTAGGATTAGAGCTTTGAACACCCTTCTTTATGAGAAAATTGAAAACTCTTAAACTATTACTTTGGATTAGTTTTAGACGATCATGTATACTCTGTAGTCGGAGTATCAAATTGGGTTCGGGCCGGGACTACCGAACAAGTACTTGTGAAGTTTCACATGAGTTTTTTTTTTTTTTTTTTTTTTTGAAAAGCTCCAAGAGCTAAGATTAGATAAATAAATTAGCCAACATCAAGTTCTGCAAGGGATAACACTCCTTGCGGGAAGCTATCAACAAACAAAAGCTCAAAACCATCAGGGGGGAGTTGCCTCGCCATAAGGTGAGCAACACAATTTCCCACTCTCCTAATATGAAAACAAGAAAAAGCTCTCAAAATCCATACTCATGGAACGAATGTCATCCACAACTAGGTCCACAGGTGCTTTGCCAATCTTGTGAGATTTGATGAGGTTGATCACCGAGAGAGCATCCGATTCTAGCTCCACCTTGCTAAACCCAAGCTCACGAGCTGTTTGTACACCCATTCTTGCTGCCATTGCTTCGAGAACTTTGACAGGAGGCTTCCCCATGAAACGCTTCACTCTTGCAGGCACAATGACCCCTTGATCGTTCCTTAAGACCGCACCAATACTCGAAGAAGTCTCGGATATCACAGCAGCGTCTGAATTTACTCTGATCAGGCCAGCAGAAGGTGCTTTCCAAGTCGATCTAGATACAGCAGCAGGGGGGCATACATTGACAGCAGTGGCATATGACTTATAATCCTTTACTAATCGAAGAAAACCCAGGACCCCAACATCTCTACATTGCCACGGGTTCTCAAAAACCACGGAGTTGCGGTATGACCATGTAGCCCAGGCATACGCAACAAAAGTCAGCAGCTCACTCGAACCAACCTTCCCCTTCATCCACTCATACAGCTCAAAGAAGCTGTCACAAGGAGCCTTACAAATTAGCTCAGCAAAAGGAGATAAATCCCACACCTGCTTGACATTCGAGCAAAAGAAAATGGCATGAACAATACTCTCCTGCTGCTCATTACACAAGCTGCACATCCCATCAGTCCTCACATGTCGCTGCTGCAATCTCCCAAAAGTAGCCAGAGACCCCGTGCAAGCCCTCCACACAAATTGACGAAGCTTTGGAGGTCCATCTAAATTCCAAATTGAATTCCATGTTTCTGCCCTGTCTCCCCCAAAGCGATCAGTCCAGCCACGAACATGTCCCATCCTAGCAAGCCAATAGCCCGATTTAGTAGTATAAATACCATCAGTAGCAGGCCACCAGTACATTGAATCTGTGGTGTGATTGAGACTCAAAGGAATAACTTGGACAAGAGATATATCTTCAGCAACCAGATGTTGATTCAAGGCATCCACATTCCATTGGTGTGTATCATGGTCGATGAGACTTGTAACACAAAGGTCAGCAGGACTTTCGACATTCAAAGTAGGGACTTTGTCACACTGTCTCACGGCAGCCAAGACTCGTCCCACACATTGATTTTACTACCGTCACCAACTCTCCATTTAAGATCATCAAGTAAAATCGATTTCGCCCCCCAAATGCTACGCCACACGAAGCTCGGGTCATGACCTCTACAAGACGATAAAAAATCACCATGTTTGAAATATTTTGCCTTAAGGACTTTTGAAATGAAGGAATCCGGATTACAAATAAGTCTCCACCCTTGTTTAGCAAGAAGCGCTTGGTTGAACACCTTTAAGTCTCTAAATCCCATTCCACCGAAAGACTTTGGTAAACATAGTTTTTCCCATCTCAACCAATGCATTTTCCTCTCCGTCCCGGACGACCCCCACCAAAATCGAGAAGCATGGAATGAATCTCATCAATGAGAGTATCCGGGATATGGAATAACCCCGTTATGTATGTTGGGATTGCTTGGGCAACCGCCTTGATAAGGACCTCTTTTCTGGCTTGAGACAACAATTTTTCCTTCCACCCTTGCATTTTCTTCCAAATTCTCTCCTTGAGGCAAGTAAACACCATTTTCTTTGACCTTCCAATAATAGTCGGGAGACCCAAATATTTCTCATGCTTCTCAACCTGTTTGACACCAAGAACCTCGATAATCTCCGTCCTCCTCATCACATTCACACATTTACTATAAGACACTTCAGATTTTTCAAAATTAATTTTTTGTCCCGATGCTCTTTCATATATGCCAATAATTTCGGCAATTTTCGAGCATTCCTGAAGTGTCGCTCTAGCAAATAAAATGCTATCATCTGCAAAAAAATAAGTGAGATACTCTAGGAGCACCCCTACAAACCTGAGCACCCGTGATGAGCTTATCATTAGCAGCCTTTGACAGCAAGGTAGAGAAAGCTTCGGCACATAAAAGAAAGAGGTACGGGGAGATAGAATCTCCTTGCCGAAGACCACGGGAAGGCACTACATTCCCATCCACCTGTCCATTCCACTTGAAAGAATATGGCACAGAAGACAAGCACATTAATATTTTCCCAATCCAATCCCCACAAAAACCCATCTTGCACATAACTTTCTCCAAAAAACTCCATTCGACATGATCATAAGCCTTACTCATATCTAACTTTAAGGCCATAGTACCTGCTCTCCCCTCCTTTCTTCTCTTCATGGCATGGGAAATCTCAAAAGCCACAATGGCCTTATCAGTTATTAATCTACCCGGGATAAAAGCACTTTGATGATGAGAAATAAGACCGGGAAGGATAACTTTTAGCCTATTTGCAAGGACTTCCGAGATAATTTTTTAGATGACATTACATAAACTAATAGGACGAAACTCAGTCATTTTTTTCGGTTCCTGTCACTTTGGGATAAGCACAAAGCACATCTTATTCACCACACTAAGATCCCCCCATCAGTCCACCAATTTTGAATATAATCAATAACATCATTTCCTACAATATGCCAACATTTTTGATAGAAGAGAGCATGCATACCATCCACACCTGGGGCCTTGTTCGGATGCATTTGCATAAGAGCCCTATAAATTTCGTCCCCTGAAGGAACCTCCGTCAGCTTTTGATTCATATCATTAGTCACCAAGCAATCGGTCCCTGCAATAGCCTCCTGAAAATCAGCAGGCATAGATGATTCAAAAATATTAGCAAAATATCCGGAGATGATTTCTGCCATTTCTTCCTCCTCATGCATTTGACCACTGTCATCTTCTAGCTCATAGATGAAATTCCTCCGTTGTCAAAAGCTAGCTTTATGATGGAAGTAAGAGGTGTTCTTATCTCCATCTTTGCGTTCGTTCACCCGAGATCGGGCATGCCAATACGACTCATCAAGGTGCTGCAACTCATCAAGCTCTTTCACTAATTGTTTGCAGCTTGCTAACATCTCCGCATCAGGATCACGGCTTTGCCACTCTTGTAGCTCCTTTTCTTTCATCAGAATTTTCTTCTTTATATCTCCAAAGACATCACTCGCCCACTTGCTCAAATTATTAGCACACACTGCAATTTTGGAGCTAATAGGGCTGCCAACATTACCATCCCATGCATCTTTGACAACATTCTGAAAATTATGGTTAGATAACCATAAGGACTCAAAATGAAATCGCTTTTTCCTTTTCTTCTTGCGAGCAGTAGCATTTGTTTGTAGTACTATAGTCTATAGGGGCATGGTCAGAATATGTGATTGGATAATGTTGCACCTCGGTTCTAGGAAATAACAACCTCCATTCATCACAAGCCAAAAAGCGATCCAATCTTTCCCTCACAACCGTGTTCGGATCATTACCCGTATACCACGTAAAAATATTTCCAGTATACCCCAAATCCTCCAAGCTACATAATTCGATGGTCTCCCTAAAAAAATCCATTTTTCTCTCACTCCGGGCCACCCCACCTTGCTTCTCATCTTCACACAAAATCTCATTAAAATCGTCAAAAAACACAATAGGGATGTGCATTGTATTTTTAAGAGATTTAATTAACTCAAAAGTCAAATGTTTATTCCCGGTTTCCGGCCAACCATACACACCAATTGCCACCCATTTAGGAAAATTATTCCTATCACGAATTTCCACAGCAAAATGATGCTCCGAGTATGAGATAGTAAAAGCATTAACATCCTTCCACCAAAGCCCAATGCCACCCGAATTTCCCACACTACTTAGACATATTCCATCCATAAAGCCACATCTATTTCGAATAGTCTCCAAACGTCTCGAATCAATCATAGTCTCCATTACAAAGACTATATTAGGGCTCTCCCTCCAACACCATGATTGGAGGGCTCGAACTTTCCCGGGATTGCCCAAACCCCGGCAGTTCCAACTGAAGATTTTCATTGCTTTTCGGAGGTTTGGCTCTTGCCAACACCTCCTACTTGGATGTTACTGTCCCCAGCATTCGTGACATCAAATTTCATTCTTTTTTCACCTCCCTCCATTCCACTATCCATCCCCATCTCACCCCTCTCACTAGCAGGTCTTTTATGACAAATAATATTAGTCATATTCGTATCAAAACTCTCTCTTTTGCGTCCCTCATCAATATTCCCCATACCCTTTCTCACACCCTTCCTCTTTCCAACACTGCCCCCACCTTATCCACCTTACTACTCTCTCCTATCACTCCCTCCCCCTCTGCATTTGTACCACTAGTAGCTACCTCAGAGTCCATACCATCCATAGCATCCTCCTGCCTCATCCCTCCATCATCTTGTAATATTCTCGGCCTAAGCACCATCTTCTTTGACTTTTCATCTTCCACTATGGTTAGCCGCACCTCCCTCTCTCTTGGTGTAGCAGAGTTTTCAGTAGGTTTAGGAGAGAAGTGTAGCTTGCGAGCAGCCCCCACAGGACCCAGCATAATCACATTTGGGGAACCAGAAGATCTTGAAGCCTCACACCTTCGTCCCCTCAATTTATCCAGCAATTTTTTATCCTTTTCACGTTCTGCCAATGAAGCTCTCGAGAGCTTTAATGGAGAGGCTCTTAGCCAAGGCCCATACTGGTATACAATGTCAGTTGCTTCCTCCCCCTCCGCATCCTTCTTCACACAATCTCTATCGGTGTGATCAATGCTACCACAATAAAAACAGAAATCTCCCAATCGTTCATACTTCACATCAATCCACTTTGTGTTTGATTCACTTGCGGCAAGAAATAGGCCCCTTCTCAACGGTTTCGTAGTATCCACCATAACCTTTAAGCGCATATACTCACTCCACCCCAAAGGATCAGAGTCATCCAATTCCAAGAAACCTCCTTCAGTAATAGGAGTTTCCCGTCAAAGAACCATGACATTCCTTCTATGACTCTCTGTTTGTCTTCCTCTTTAACAAATTGGAACACAAACCTATTGGTATCCATCGAACGAATCATGATGTTGTCATCCACTTTCCAAACCCCCGTTAAGGTCTTTTTCATTGCTTCCACATTAAAGGGTTTAACCGTACATAATTTTCCAACAAGCGCTAATTGATAGTGAACAATCGAATCGGCATTATCATCATCTCCTACAGCACACTGCCTATTACACAATTTTCATCTTCCGTTAATTGGAATTTCTCCCAATCTTTGATCAATTCCTCTGCCATACGAAATACTCACACCAAACCCCAACCTTAATTGAGATTATAAATTGCAAGAGAAAACAGAAAGGAAACGATTGATTAACAAGAAAAAACGAGATCACAGAACCCTAAGCAAAGGACTACGGAACCCTACGCAAGGGACGGTTTTTTGTTAGAGAGACATAGATTTAAGTTTCACATGAGTTTGTAAAATGTTGTTGTTGCTTTTCGGAATTTAAAACTCTCAACACAGAATTTTTGGGCAGTTTTCAAATGACTACAATAAAATTGTGGCAATTGTAAGTGAGTGAATTACAACCCTCCAATAAATAAAATTCATCATATCCATCCATTTAGTTGACTGCAAAATACATCTTATCCAAAAAAAAAGAGATAAAAATAATTCAGCTTTTTTTATACTACAAAATTTGGTATTCCCTTAAAAAAAAAAAAAAAAATCCGTACAAAATTTGGTCTAAGAATGAAATTTCTAATTTATCTTATTGATGATTAGTACTTCCTCCGTTATGTTAATATTGCAATAATGGACTTTTTGCACTATTCATCACTATAGTTTGACCATATAATATGATTTATACGTTAAGCAAAATATAGTCACGTGAGATCTTGTTGGATTCGTCTCATAAAATACTTTCACAATATCAACTTTTTATAATTTTTACTCTTATACAATTATAAATTTTTAGCATATAAAATGTGCATAGGGATGCGTAATTTTCTCCTTGTTGCAATATTAATAGAACGGAGGAAGTATTTTTTTTCTTTAATGCCAATTGATTGTTTTCTTGAAAATTAGAGACAAATCTCACAAATTTTCATCATCTTCTTTATTCCTCGATTTTTTCTGGTTTTCTTTTATGGAGGATGATTCCTTGTTTGATAAATTTAATGCAAAATCTATGGACCTTGTAATATATATAATGCCGTAGATTGGGTTTATTGTTAAAAAACTATAATCAAAATGGTGATTTTGAATGGAGATGAGAGATTTCTTTTAACTTAGAAATTGCAATATATGCATTAATGGCGGCAAAGTTCAGTTTTTTGTTTTAGAAACTGCATAACTTTTTTTTTTTTTTTATTATTTTTTTTTTTATTTTATTTCTTATTAAAAATCAAAGTCGATTGATGAATAGACAAGATTGAACATTAAAAATAAAGGGCTAAGATTAGAACTAATTACAATAGCTACAATTTTATTGTAGTCATTGAATAGATTCATACATTATATACTAGTATACTACGTACTTCATATGTAATACTTCCTCCGTTCTTTTATTATTGCACCACTTGCCTTTTTAGGAAGTTTCACAAATATTGCACCATTTCCTCTCTAGGAAAAAATTTATTTGTGTTCACACTGCAAATACCCAACATACCCTTGCTTTTTCACACTTATTTTTTAGTTTATCAATATGTCACATGGGCAATTTTGTATTTTTACCTTTCTCTTTCTTACTTTTTTCCACTACCAAAATATTTGGACCCAACCCCTATGGTGCAATAATAAAAAAACGGAGGAAGTACGAAGAATAAGCCTTCTTAGTATATGAACAAAATTGAATCAATTTATATCTTCAAATCATTATATGTGGCATCAGGCATCCTATACTTATATGATGTGTAAAGTTTCCTAAATTTTATGTACCACCTCTGTTACAAGTTATGTGCAGCGATTTGACATAAAGCAGAGATGGAAAATATCTAATCGTTGCACATAATTTGTAACGGAGGTAGTAATTTTTTTTATTCGCTCAAAAAAATATTTTATCGAAACTTTAGAATTGTTGAACTCTTAAAAAAAGGTTAAGATAAATCTTAAATTCATATAATAATTAATCAAATATATTTTAACTTCTTAATTAAAATAAAATTTGGCTAGACTCGTTTCTCATTCAAGCCTACAAATGATCACGTGAGGGGTTACTGGGTCATGTGTTATTTGAGTTACTTGGTCAAGGGTTACTCGAGTTACTCGAGGGGCTACTCGGTTATGGGTTACTCGGTTAGGGTTTATTTAAGAAGTCCGGTCAAGGGTTATTCGAGTAATTCAGTCAAGGGTTACTTAAGGAGTTCGATATGGGATTACTCAGTCAGGGGTTACTTGAGGGGTTACTCGGTCAGGGGTTACTCGAGGGGTTCATCGTGGTCAAGGGTTACTTGAGGGGTTACTTTGTCAGGATTAAGCCGAGTAACTCAGGTAATCCCTGACCGAGTAATTTGAGTTCCCGACAACTCGAGTAACTCCTTCCGCACGGTACAACAGGTTGAATACAAAGCATTGTAATTTTTTTTGTGCACCACCAAATTATTATAATTAAGGAAAGAAAGAAATGTCCTTCTCCATAAGCTAACTACCACCACAGTAGATTTCCAAGGTTTTTACAAGTAACAACCTAACTAAAACTAAAACGCGTTTGAGAAACTTGTTTTAATCTAGAAAGTAAAAGAAGATGTGACATGTACAACAATTTCACTAGCACTTGTCTATATGACTTTATGATAAAAGCTCTAAAACCAAATTCAGAAAAGACTAATAAAGAGTCATTTAGTCACGGCTTATGGATAAACGTTTTGCGTACGTGAGGAAAATTCAAACTAGTTTGATCATAGTGATGGTGATAGGCTACATCTCTAATTAATTTACGTAACTAGTTGCTTAAATTAAAACTCATCTATCTATTACAAATTGCAATAGGCTAAGAATTGAATTTTCTATCGTACAATCAGATGTACCTTGCTAGGAATAACCAATATCATGTTATTGGCATATGAGCCTACAGAGTAAATGTTATGAGTAAATTAAAAAAAAAATAAACCCCCTATAATTAGTTGTATCATGTATAATACTAATACATACATTCTCAGTACGACAATATATGGTATGAGGGAAACTTAAATGACTTTAATTGTATCATGAACTAAAAAAAATAACCGATTGTACATAGAAAATTGATCAGTAATATGTTGCTTAAGAAATTTATTAAAGAGGAAAATTCGATCTTTTAGTAATTACTTTTTATCTTTTCGTATTTTTTGTAATTGTAGTAGCAGCTAGTTGTTCTTTCTGTGGTTATCGTGTTTTCATTGCAAGAATTCACATCATATGATAAATCACATGAACACTCAAATATAATTAAATTCTATATTGATGAAAAAGAAATTAAAGAATTGACCCTAATGGAGATTTCAAAAAACACGTACCTTCTATCTTTGGATCTCATGAAGAGGTTAAACGAACTAAATTTTATTAAACCTAATAATTCTATATAAGAGACCTAGACCATTGTTGTGCGACAGCGGAAGCAAAGGTCGAAAACAAACAAGAAAACAATAAAGAAATTCAATGCAAACAATAAGAACAACACCAAGAATTTACGTGGTTCACTATCGATGTGATAGCTACGTCCACGGGCACCGAGATCGAATGATTTCACTATAAACTGCAAAGATTACAAAGATGATTCTTGTATTTCTCAAGAACGGCTCTCACTCTCTCTCTCTTAACCCTTATACTAATATTAGGGAGGTTTTATATTAATCCCTAAAATAAAAGATACTTGGGCAAAAAAATAACATAAAAGATAACTTTAAATCGTAAAATCCGCGTCTCCGCATTTTTCCTTCTCCGCCCGGTCAGACCGGGCA